GCCTCCGGGGAAAGGCCTGGCCCCATTTTTGAGTTCTTTTGAACGCCAGACAGCCCCCCCGCCCCCCTCCCAAGTTTTTAGCATCTCGCTGGGATCCCGTTTGTGAGGACTGGCAGAGCTGTTGTTTCCCTGTTGCTTTTGCTTGTGGCCTTGATGACAGTGGACTCTCTTCTGGTTTTAATTCATTGTGAATGGCCTGGAATTCAGAAATGAAGGGCCGCGTATAAATATTTAAAATGATGTCTAATAAAATCTGATCTCAAGTAAGTCGACCTAATAAATTCTCTGGGATTTATGGCCTTGTGAGTCGGCTTAGGACCAGCGCCAAGACATTTCTGGGACGTGGAAAAGACGGACATATTTATAATAGTAATAATAATCGTGAAGCTTTTATTAGAAGCATTTGTGGTCTTGAGTCACCTGAAGCAGACGATGGGAATCGCCAGGGTGCCGTGGCCAAGAAGAGAAATAATTTCCCTGCCAAAAGATTCAGAAGGAAGCGTTTGCGCTGTAAGAGCCGTGGAAACCGGAGACTTTGCACGCCAGAAGCCTCTGATGCCAGCCTTGACTGAAGCATGGGAGCCCACGTCCCACCTGAGAGCTGTTTTGTCCACAAAGAGGGGTCAAAGCAGGACAGCTCGTGTTTGCGTGGCATCTTATGTCGCATTTGAAGACATTGGAAAGCCTCTTCCAGAATCGCCAACTTCTTCCCTCCCACGGTGGTCTTCTCTAGCCCAGGGATTTCCATACAGAAAGTCCTTGCTGGGTTTCCTAGGATCTCCATGGAGAGTTGGCAAAAAACTGCCCACATTTTGCCCATCTACTGCAGAAGCAGGGAATCTCCTGGACATGGGTTGAACTATATCCGGCTGCTTCTACAGTTCCTAATGGCGTTTCCTCACTTTTGAAGGGCTAAAGGGCTCTGCGGCATCCTTAAGTTGGGAGAAAACCCCCTGGCACGTCTCTCTCTTGACTCTGTTTGCAGACGCGGGCGGTCACTGGTCCCTTTCCTCCAAGAACTGGGATGGCAAAGCCTAACCGATTGTGCACCCTTTGCACCTGACCTTGAACAATGTCAGAACCAGGTGGAAAACATTGTTTTGACACCGACGCAGCTCAGGAGGACATAAACCTGTTTCACTCCTGGGCCGGCTGGGGAGGAGATGAAGGTGCTGCTAAAGGGGCCGGGCCGGAAAAAGAGCTTGCCAGGGCAGGTTTGAACCTTGGTTAGATGCAGATGGTAAAAGATATTGAAGGAACATCAGGTTGATGGCCTACATCAGTGTTGTCCAAACTTGGCCACTTTAAGATGAGTGGACTTCAACTCCCAGAATTCCCCCGCCCAGCCTCCTGGTTGCGGGATTTTGTGGTGTTATGTCCAATCCTCTTTAAATCTCTCCGTTTTGGCGACTCTGACTGATGCGAATTTCAACAAG